CTTTCTGATGAAGGATCTAGGCCCGAAACGTCAGCCTTCCTGCTCCTATGATGCTGCTTGGCCTGCTGTGTTCATCCAGCTCTACACCTTGTTATCCTGGATGGTACTGACCTTCTTGAGTTGTTGTTGTAGTCACATTTTATCGAGGAAAAACTTTTGATACCAGCATTCCCATCCCACAATGTGCTCATTGGAAGTCCTCAACCCTAATGTATTTCAGTCACCTCCTTCCTCAATTCATGTTTTCCCTGTATATCTCACCATGTTGATCCTGATTACCCAAATCCATTGCCAAGGTCCACAACCCGGTCTCGGCAAATCGTACCTCGTCTGGATTTCATATTGCTCCCTGACTGTTGTCCCAGAAGCAGGCAGTACTCCTGGTGAGTTTGACTGGCTGGCGTTCTGAGATGGGCATCCTCTCCAATGGCTAACTAGCCATGCTCAAGTGGGCTTATTACTGATTCTAGCACTCAAGGACCTCATTCCTCAATGTAAAATTCAACCATGATCTGTGTTTTTAAAGCATCCCAAACCAATTAATTGTGAAAACACTATGATTGCCCTCAAGAACAATGATTAGTACCAATGTTCTTTCTAGAAGAGTAGAAATTTGCAGTTGTCCTCCTGATTGTTAACTAGTAACTGTAAGGAATTCAGCATAGACTTTCAACTCACTGACCAAAATTCGTGTGATTAGCTGTCCTTAATGGAAGCTACCCAATTTTTACTCTGCAGTGAGGAATTTGACACCCTGCTGTGATATGGCAATGAAATCACAAAGAAGCTAGCAAATTCATTTGACTCAGTTAATTAACATGGAAATTCTAAAAGACAATCAATACATGAAATAGTTAATCTATGATGTTTCGTTTCAGTGATGTGGCAGTTATTTTTAAACTGAAGTTCATTGCTGTTGTGACTAGCTCGCTTTGAACATTCAACCTTTCAATGAATCTGATTAAATAAGCTGCAAAAAAAAAAGGAAAAACATTCAAAAGACTAGTGTCTCAAAGTGTCAGCACCTTCAAGAGGGAAAATGTAGTTAAAGAAAGCAGAAAATATGTAAAATATTGTTACATATTTTTTCAAAACTATGACTTTTGAAATAGTTGTTATGTGCTAGTTTAAATAGTTCTCTCATAAAATTGGTTCCAGATTTTGCTAGATTGCTCTAAATAGCTGTCTTTGTTCCAAAATATTAGAGCTCGTCAAGATGCAGTTCTAAAAGAAGACACTTTACACTTGAATCATCAATTGAAATAGTGTAACAATCCTTCTATCAAGTAGGTCATTTTGCTGTTTTGGCACTCTTATGTTACTTACTATTAATCTACATGATATAGCCTTAACCTGGTTTCATAAGTTGGTTTGAAACAGAAATTTTGATCATGTTGATGTGACATGCAACATATTTAAGTCTTTGCAGAATTTTTAAGGAGATCATTTAAATTTAAATTTGCATGCTTTCACTCAAATATTTCATGACTAGGAAACTAAATATTACAAGAACAACTAGCACTTACGTTGAATCTTTACAGTAGAAAATGTCCCAAGGTGATTTATAGTATTGTATTTGAAAAAAAATGGATGGACTACCAAAAAGCTTCGTGACAAAAGGTGGATTTTTAGTAGGACTGCAAAGAGGACAGGCATGTCTGAGAGATTAGGGAGAAAAGTTTAGGCAGCTGAAAGCCCGACTGAGAGATGAAGGAGAGAAATTTGGGCAACTAAAAGCATGGCCAAAGGTGCGGGTACTGTATTGAAGGTCAAATTTTGATGGGTTTGGCATTCAATTACATTGCAATTTTAATACTGAAGATGTAATATTCAATAATGGTTCACATATGGTAAGATACTATTATTTGCACAAATGATTTCTTTTGAATCTAACTGTTCCCCAAATGGTTGCATGCCGCACTCTATTGGTCTTTCAAATCAGGAGTTTTGAGCAGAATAGATGATTTGTAGTTAGTTTTGTCCAGGCATCTGAGTCCTTTGAAAATATAAATTGTGGAAGCCTTCTATTAACTGTAAAAACACAAAATTGAACCATGTGACACATTTATCACTTTAACAGTTTCAGACTAAAGGTTTTTCCTGCTCCATTTAAACAGTATCACTTCAAATGGGTCTGACTCAAATTGAAATTTACAGATACAGGTGGTAGAATGCTCTAGTTTCTCAGTGAAGAGTCCATTCTTCATGTGAAGGTCATGTGCAGCTTAGCTAAGAGGACGCTTACACTTTAATCCAATGTCCATATACCGCTTTCTTTTAGGACTCTGGTTAGACCCCATTTGAAGTCCTGTGAGCAGATCTGTGTCCCACACCTCAAAAAGGCCTTGGGGTGAGTACAACATAGGTTTAGAATGATGCCTGTATTTCAGTGGCTAACTTATGAGGACAGATTGTACAAATTAGGCCCGTTTTCTCTAGAATTTAGAAGGATAAGAGGTGATCTGATCAAAGTCTTCAAAATATTAACAAGACAAGACAGAGTAGATAAAGATAAACTATTTCCACTGGTTGGAGATTCTAGAACTAGGGCACATAATCTAAAGAAGAATTAAGGCCACATTATTTAGGAGAGATATTAGAAGCACTTTTACACACAAGGGTGATAGATGTTTGGAACTCTTCATAACTGGCAGTTGATGCTAGATTTTAAATCTGAAATAGATAATTTTTTTGTTAAGCAAATATATTAATGGAAATGGGCCAAAGGCAGGTATATGGACTTGGGCCACAGATCAGCCACGATCTCATTGAATGACAGGACAGGTTCAGGGGGCTAAACAGCTTACTTCTGTTCCTATGAATTGCTTGATTGCAATTTGTTTTACTTACCCCATTCTCAGCTAAGTAATAATAATAAAGCTAAAATTAGTACCTCTGCTAAAATCTCAGTTAGAGTCAACTATTTCTGCACTATTCTGAGTAAAACCGAAGATCCACCAAATCTGGATAAGTCAATAATACAATACATGATACCCTTACCACTGACTGATTAGATTGCTTTAGGGTTTGGATATTTTACAAATAACTGTGGAGAAGATATGGTGTACCTACCTATCTGAAAGTTCTACAAGCCTTTCAAATTCTCCAGAATGCTCCGTTACTGCCACAAGAGCTAGAAGTCCAGCCTGTGAAGATCAAAAATTGCTGCACTAGATTATCGTACTCAAAACAGTAACAGCAGTATGTATTACCACAGGGTGCAATTCAAAATAGAACACTGTTGCTTAGCTCTAACTAAAAGCTGCATCATTATCAAGAATGAAAGCTAAGGTGATAACCCACCTTGTCACATGTTACACCACATCAGCTAAGGAGTGTCAGTTATGAAACTGAGTCTGTTACATTGTTTAATATGGCTTTCTGTGAAACAGCCAGACTACATATAGTCAGAAACACATGGTTGCATTCTCATCAGACCGTCCAATTTGAAAATATTGGTCCAGATGGGGTAAAATTGGTATTTAAAAGATAAGTATAGAATTTGTTTAGAAATGCTCAAACTTTCTTGTAATTTCACCAGAAGTGCAGTGAAAGCTCTATTGCATGTGTAAACAGGATTGCAACTACCTTTCCCAAGAAGTTACACATTATAGCCACAGCAGTTTGGAGGAATTTCTGACTAGTAGTTATAGCCCTAAAACCAGCAATACCAATTTAAAAATATTTGTATTTTGATGATTACATGCAAACAAACACATTTATCAGTGTTTTATTTATTCTGAGAATTGATTAATTGAAATAAATGAACACTATACCTCTTTCGCTTGCTCTATCACTGCATCGATATCCTAAAATAAAAATAACAAGATTAGTAATGCTATCCATATCCAAATGATGACTTTATCTAAATGAATTTATCAAAGATAATTGTGCAAATTAAAAATATGATTGGGCATTAATGAAACAGTTGTTACATATGAGCTATGTTGTATATTTTCTGGTACTGAATACAATTCTAAAGACTGGGAATCCTTCCAGACATTCTAACACAACTGTGGAATGAAAACTCCAATCAGTAACAGCAGTATGTATTACCACAGGGTGCAATTCAAAATACAACACGGTTGCTTAGCTTGTTGTATCCTGCATGCATCCTTTCAAATTTATCACACCAGACAGTTTGCATCAGAGAGTTCAACATGACATCTCTGAGGTGTCATGGTCAGGTCCATAACATAGCTCAGG